ACCCAAATCACAATAAATTAAAAAAAAAAAAAGAAAAATGCTTGGGGCTAGGGGCAAGGATGGCTAGTTAGTTTAACATCAAGCAGAAGATGAACCCTTTGGGGTTTCATGAAATTTTCAACAACAAGGCACTAAATCTATAGGTAATATATAGAAATCAACTAGTTAAACATATTTTTAAAACACCCACAACATGTTTGCTAGGCTGTTGATCATTGCTTATAGCTAAATTACATTGCTCTTGTCTCTTTTCCCATAGTTTCATCAGCTACATGGAACCAAGAAATCAAACAAGTGTTTCAGAATTTATCCTCCTGGGGCTCTCAGAAGAGGAAGATGTGCAGCGCCTCCTATTTGGGGTTTTCCTGTTCATGTATCTGGTCACCTTCCTTGGAAATCTTCTCATCATCCTGGCCATTATCACTGACTCCCAGCTCCATACTCCCATGTACTTTTTCCTCTCTAACTTCTCTTTCTCAGACATCTGTTTCACCTCCACTACTGTACCAAAGATGCTGCTGAATATGAAGGCACAAAGCAAAGCCATCACTTATGAAGGCTGCCTCAGCCAGATGTATTTTTACATGGTTTTTGGACAATTAGACAACTTTCTCTTGACAGTGATGGCCTATGACCGATATGTGGCCATCTGTCACCCACTGCACTACAAGATCATCATGAACTCCAAGCTGTGTGGTCTCTTACTTTTGATATCCTGGTTCTTGAGTATTCTAGACTCTCTATTACATGGCTTAATGATTTTACAACTGTCTTTTTGTACAGAGTTAAAAATTCCCCACTTTTTCTGTGAACTCAATCAAGTAATCCAACTTGCTTGTTCTAACACCTTCCTCAATGAAATATTACTGTATTTTGCAAATGGACTTCTGGGTGTTATTCCACTCATTGGTATCATTTTGTCTTACTCCAAGATTGTATCTTCTATTTTGAAAATTTCATCAGCTGAGGGCAAGTATAAAGCATTTTCCACTTGTGGGTCTCACCTCTCAGTAGTTTTCCTGTTCTATGGTACATTTCTTGGGGTCTATCTTAGTTCTGCTGCTACCCAAAACTCCAGGGAAAGTGCAATAGCCTCAGTGATGTACACTGTGGTCACACCCATGCTGAACCCCTTTATCTACAGTCTTAGAAACAAGGACATAAAGCAGGCCCTGAAAAAACTCTTCAGCTGAGGAATATTCTCTACATAAGAGGATTTTTGTCTCAGGTTTAGAGAATTCATAATGAGTAACAGATCTCCAAAAACTGAAAACCTGAATTATGATACATACATCCATTCATGGAATGAGAGTCTGAAATTAGTTAATAGTTAGATTTTAATATCATAGATTGTAATTTTATGCATTAAATGTAACTGTTTCCTCTGTACTTTCATGTAAATTTTTTACCTCTGTCATTATCTTCTCTGACTTTATTGTAGAAAATAGATCCCACTGAATGAAACTTAGCAGTAAGATATTTAACACAGGATATTGGAAACTTAAAAATTATAGGAAGCACTGGAGGAAATAAAGTGTACTGCTATCCTGCCACATGAAAGCAATTGCTTCTCGCATTATCTGCTTTTGGAGAAATCACTTTTCATATCAAATGCTGTGCACAATTGTCAGAATTCGTGTTAATTCATTTCAAAAACTGATCGCATTTGCATTACTAGAAGTGTTTGGAGTCACCAACCTGATTAAATAATCCACATCCACTCACGAAGATCTAATTTTCTTCTGAACAGTCTAAAATATAAGTTCAGTTGAAATGTAATAGAAATTACAATGGCTGAGCCTGCAAATATTGATAGTGTTGCCAATATCTATGGATGCTAAAAAAAAAAAAAAAAAGAGGTTGATAGGCAAGAAAAATTTAAGAATTTCCTTTCTCACTACTTACAGTAATAGCCTCACTTACAGTTCACAGCCAATGTGGATATTCTGCCAATTGTCAACTATGACTCTTCCAACTAGGCATCCCAGAAATAAGGAAATAAAAACAGTATACATTGATAGACTTCGGGTGTCATTTGTGAGTGAAGGAAAGACTTGTGTCGAGTCAGTCCCGCCTCATAAAGACCCTTCCTTGGGTTTCCGAGGTGGTATCACTACGCAAGTAGATTGCCCAACCTTCCTTCCGAGGAGTGGTTGGTGGGTTTGAACCACCAGACTTCTGGTTAGCAGTCAAGTGCCTTAGGCACTATGCTACTAGACTAAAACTTCATTTACCACCTAACTAGAAGCCACCACTTTGACCATTTGTCTCCCTGTGGCATCCTGGGATCCCAAAGCAATGAAAAGAGAAAAAACTAGGGTATAACAAAAGTTGGTATGCTCTTTAAGGTGAATATATGTTAGGTGAAGCTATTCCTGAGTCTTCAAGCAAAGCACTTCCTGCCTCATCAGGCAAGTAAGGATGTATGGACCAGGCTAGCTCTTAAGTCTCTGTGTAGTTTTGAGAATCAAAATACTGTGATTTGTCAAAATCCACCCATTTATAGTTATTACTTTTCTCAAGGGCCTCTTTACAAATAATACTTTATATTTTATTTAAGACTTTGGAGAGTTTGTGAATTCACCTTAATTTGCAATTCATCAACCCATGCAATCAGACTATTTTTTAGTGGTTCCCACATCAGACCTGAAAATTTGAGAAAGAAATCATTTGATCATTTGATTCATGTGGTCCTGGAAGCTTCTTGTTTCTTTGATTTCCATGATCTGAGAACTTTAAATCCTCATTTTGTCATATACTTTCTGAAACTTCTCCAGTGCACTAAAAACTCCTTGAGTACTGATTCCCTAAAATATATTTTATCACATAAGTCATTCAGTCTTCTCATATCTTCCCTTCAGTAGTTTGTTCTTTTGGATTGACTTGAGATGATAAATTATGAAAGAGATTTTCCAGTGCTATCTATGGGCTAGGAGCTCTGGTAACTAGTGCCTAAGGCATTTGACTGCTAACCAAAAGGCTGACAATTCAAACCCACCAGCTACTCCTCAGAAGAAAGATTGGGCAATCTACTTCTGTAGTGATACTTCCTCGAAAACCCAAGGAGGGGTCACTCTGAGTTGGATCTGACTCAACAGCAGGGAGTTTGGCTTGGGTTTTTGGTATTTACGGGCTACCCATGGAAACAGCAGCATCATTGACCTCAAACCCAACAAGTTGAAATATCAATTGTCAAAGAGTCTACACACTTGGATTATTTTTTTAAAACAGAAATCACTGTAAGTATTTTGAGTGGAAAATATATAAGCATATACTTGCAAAACTGTTGAAAAGGCTGGTGGTATGTCTTTCAACACCAGGAATGACTCTCAGAAAAATGCTGAAAAACAGACCAACTAATGTGACAGCCCCATGATCCTTGCTATACCTGAGCCCATCATTGCAGCCACTGTGTCAATCCATCTTGTTGAGGGCCTTCCCCTTTTTCGTTGTCCTTCCACTTTCCCAAGCATGAGATCCTGCTCTAGGGAATGGTCCCCTCTTAAAATATGACCAAAGTAGGTGAGACAAAGTCTGGCCATTCTCACTTCCAAGGAGCATTCCGGCTGCATGTCTTCCAGGACAGATTTGTTAGTTCTTTTGGCAGTCCATGGTACTTTCAGCATTCTTTGACAATATCACAACTCAAAAGCATCGACTCTTCTTCTATCTTCCTTTTTCATTGTCCAGCTCTCACATGCATATGAGGTGATTGAAAATGCCATGGCTTGTATCAAGTGCACCTTAGTCTTCAAGGAAACATCTTTGCTCTTCAGGACTTGAAAGAGGTCCTTTGCACCAGATTTGCCCATTGTTATACGACATCAGATATCTTGACTGCTGCTTCCTATGGTGTTGATTGTAGAACTGAATAATATGAAGTCTTTGATAATATGAAGTCAATGATGCTGCTTATGGGTGCCATTGTGAGGATTTTTGTTTTCTTTATGTTGAGATGTAATCCATACTGCAATCTTCAATCTTCATCAGTAAGTGTTTCAAGTCATCCTTACTTTCAGTGAGCAAAGCTCTGTCATCTGCATGATGTAGGTTGTTAATGAGTCTTCCTCTAATCCTGATGCCACATTCTTCTTCATATAGTTCAGCTTCTCGGATTATTCGTTCAGCATACAGATTGAATAAGTATGGTGAAAGGATACAATCCTGATGTACTCCCTTATTGATTTTAAACCATGCAGTGTCCCCTTGTTCTGTTCGAATGACAGCCTCCTGGTCTATGTACAAGTTCCTCAGGAGCACAATTAAGTGTTCTGGAATCCCCATTCTTCTCAATGCTATTCATAATTTGTTATGATCCACACAATCAAATGCTTTTGCATACTCAATAAAACATATGTAGACATTTTTCTGATATTCTTCCTTTCCTGTCTTTTTAATGACCGTTTGCTTTCTTCATGGATGATGTTCTGTGTGTGTGTGTGTGTGTGTGTGATTTTGGTGAAGATTTACAGAGCAAATTTACTTTCCATACAGCAGTTCACACATACTTTGTCTCATGTCATTGACCACAGTTTATCACAATGCAACAGCTCCCCTCCCACTTCCTCCCCATAGTTACCTCTTC